AACTTGATATCTCCCATAAGAAGTGACAATATTTTACATCTGAATTGCTTGGTTACTAGGTGGTAATCATGTTCCAGGATGGGATTTTAAATTGTATTGTAAACAGTTTATCTACTAGGTTAGGGATGATTTTGTTGACTTTGATATCAGTGTTTTTAATTTGACATGGGAAAGTTATTGAAAAATAAGATGACCATGAAATTTAAGCAAATCTGTGAAAGCTATTACGAAGTAGATGTCTTTTCTTATTCTACACCTTCTTTTCACTGTTTACTTTAGTCCTTTTGGAGCCCTTTTTTTAGAAACAGATTAAACTGGAAAATATAAAGGCATTTAGTGTAGAACAGTATTGTAGACTGAGTAAATGCAGCTAAATGGAAATTGCGCGCAGTACTTATTCGAGCAGTATATGGTTTATTCATTTCTTACTATGTGTCTAGAACACCATGCAAGTTACTTTATCCACTTTTTAACTTACTGCTGCATTTATTTAATAATTATTGCTGTAGAATCCATTGGGTCACTGGATGCTGTCATGCAATAGGAGCCAGTTTGGAATAAAAATAATAATTAAAAAAAGCAGTTGAACTACATATAGTTTCAAGATTTTAAAAACATAGTTTGCATTTAGTTTAACATAAGAATTAAATATAGTATTTGCTGTTAAATTCTTCTCTAGCGTCTCAAATCACACTCCCTGAAACTTAACAGAAAGAAACTATGCAATTCCATGCTTTTTTATTATTAACCATTTTTGGAGTTGAAAGTTTGAAATATAAACGTGTACTTTTATTCCTGTTTTCAGTCTACTTTTTTTTTTTTTTAAACTATGTTTTTGCTGGCCTCTAGTGTTGTTATTTTTCCCTTCCCTTCTCTTCAGGAAACACGTTATGACACAATGGATCTTGTCTTCTTAGGTCTTACTTTTTCATTGTACAGCCAGTACTTTTCCTTAGTTACTTGTTCCCGAATGAGACAATTACTGAAAGCTGGATTTTTTTTTTTTTTTTTCCTGCAGAGGAATTTGAAAAATATTGTGATGATATAGCAAATACAGCTGCATGGGGCGGTCAGCTGGAAGTAAGTACTGTATTGTTAGCTTTTATTTGTGAAATTCTGAAGTGAATGAATATATTTTCAAAAAGAGCTTTCTTTTTAAAAAAAAAAAAAAAAGAAAATCTGTATGGAACATATTCACAGCTTATCAAGAAGTTTCTGCAATAGTTATAACTTGCAAGTTGTCAATGGCATTAGAAACACTGACAGTAGAAGTAAGAAACAAAGGGGAAAGTATTTTATCATGCTGACTTAGATGGCCGCAAAGCTGGCTATAGTGGAAGAATATTAGATTTTGTGATATGGAATGGTATTTGAGCTTGAGAAAATACTTATTTCTGTTTGGCTTAGTTTCCGTTTTGCTTCATACTATTTTTTGTAAGAGAGTAGTTACTGAGTTACTGAAGCTTGCTAGCTTCAATGTTACCAGATTTTTTTTTTTTTTTTATCAAAACAATGATTAATGCAACCTATTTTCAATTAAAGTTTAAAAATAATAAAAAATTTTGCTTAGTTTTTGTAAAGTTTACTTTCTAATAATACTTGAAACTTTATGCATGAAGTTATCTGTTTATTTAAACTAAATGTTATGTCTTCCTGTCCCATCCTTGGATTTGATCCTATTTACTGAATTGTTTTTATACCTTAAAGCTAAGGGCTTTGTCACACATTTTGCAAACACCTATTGAAGTAGTGCAGATGGATTCCCCTCCCATTATTGTTGGTGAAGAATATTCAGGCAAACCAATAATACTTGTGTAAGTATGTAATTTTATGCCATCTTAAAATTAGTGCATGTATTTCTACAGGAGAGGACTCTCTGATCTGCTCTTTTATTTTATATTACATACCTGACATTGAAAAGCTGCTTAAATAATGGTCTTGCGGGTCAGAAATGGTGTTTGTGATTTTCACACTTTAAAGATTAATTAAAGTTCTTAAAAGGCTGACAATTAGTCTGTCTGATGTGTGGTTCAGTCACCGCTTTATTACAGTGTTATTTGTATATTGTATACCTGCATATGCTAATACATATATGTAATGTATATTACAATGTTATTTGACCTGCTAGATAATTAACAACATAATAGTGCAATTGATGTGCGAACAGCTGAAGACAGTTTTTATTCAAAGCTTACATAAATTTTAAATTTAATTCCTGACACAGATTAAATTAGAATTTAGAATTTAGAATTTAACTGGAATTTAAAACCTTTTTTATGCTCTCCTCTTTTATGACCATGTATTTTTCTGTGCTAAAACTTAAGTTTGTTTAAGCTTATAAATGTTAATGTTTCATGTGCAGTACTCTTTTTGTTAAACTGAACATAAATTTTGTAAATTTTTTTTAGGTATATGAGACATGCCTACGGATTAGGAGAGCATTACAATTCTGTAAAACTTCTAACAGACACTGCTACAGAAAATGGCAGCTAGCATACAGTTAACAGATGCATCTTGATATGCTGGGCTCTGGACAACTCCCAAACAGACTGGAAAGTAAAACTACCTGGAATGGATTAAAAATGAAAAAGGTTTGACTATAAATTGGAAATAGCTCTTGGTTTAAAAACAAACAAAACGGCAGTATTTTGAACTTGTGGGTATTAATTGATTATGTTTAGAAAATGTTCTCTAAAATGCTGGCCGTGTAGATCAGAACATTTTGATAGAACTTCATCCAATGACAGAGTGAAAATACTCAGTAGTAAATATTTTGCTTAATTTGCATTTCTGCTGAAGAATTAAGGTTGTCTCAAGAGTCCTGTTAAATTATTTCTGGTAGATTTGGATGACTGCGGAAGACGTAAGGCATTTAAAATTATTGATACTTCTATTTAGACTGGTGGAATGAGCTTTGCAGTGGTTCTTTAGTCCCATAGGATCAAGCTTTAATACTGTAGTAAGGATCCCCTTTATTTAGGCAGGGAAGAGCTAGAGGCAAATCCAGTAGTACTGAATATCTTACCTGGCTGAAGGAATCACAAACATAATGTTACTTTATGGACTTTCATCTAAGCTTGTACGAAGGTTTGCGGACTTCTCTCTTGTTTTGCAGCTGACAGTAGGAACCGAACACTTGATGCTCTTCCTATTACTCTATCTGTAGGAAGAGCATTGCTGTTTATGACTGTACGTCACAGCATTACTGTGGGTTAACTGTGCTCTTCATCCTTCATGATTTTTCATCTGTGCACTGTGATGATACACAAAGCTTATAAACAAAGAATTCCTCAACTTCCTCAGTTCAGGTAGTGAACTCATTGGACATTGTTTATGGATCTGCTGTTCTATGTGCTTCACGATCTAAAGTGCAATGTTTCATAATGCTTAAAACAACTGGTTGCATACATACAGATGTAAAAATAACCACCTTGATTTTTGTCAATAACTTTAAAGGCAATCTACAGGAGAAATAAGTTTATCTTCATTTCTCCTTTTGGCACAGAAAGAAGACTTGAAAATTTTTTTGATGGCTTGTCTCTTTGCATTAGAAATTTAGATTTTTGTCTTGAAGTTACTATAAGCATGACTTGAAAAGTGGCAGCATACTGAAACCAAAGTTTTCATGCAATCAGTTGTTTTTTAGTAACAGAAGTGATTTTTAAAAAGCCTTAGTCAATAAATTCATAATTGTCTGCATTTTAGTGCTTTTTGGAGAAGAGCAAGTTCTTGACAAATTTAAACACCTCTGCCCTGAGCTAACAATATTCCTCTCATAATCCTTCAGTAAAGCTAGGCAGCAGTTTGACGTTCCCGGGGCTTCTAAATTAAAATCTGCTGTTACTTTAAATCAGACATATGTGACCAATGAAGTGAACACTTATCTCAATTTTTTTTTTTCTTAAAGCATTTTGAAAGAGAGGAAAGTTTAAAATTTCAAACTACTACAGGCACTTTTTTTTTTCTTTGAACAGGCAGGATCTGTGATTATGAATTTATTAGAATGATGCCTGTCAGGAAAATCAAGTATTAACCAGATCTAGAGTTTGGCATATCCTCATTTATCTGATACAGTATAGCAAATATAGCTGTATTTATAGTAATTTGATGAATCACGTTTACTGTCTTGACTGTGTAAAATCCTGTTTTTAATTGCAAATGCAAAATTGGATACATTAGTATGAAAAGTGTTTCTATTCATAATACCATTATGAATTTCACTAAAAAACCGTTAAAAATACTCTTCTCACTGTTGCTTAAAATTGGTGTGATAGGAAATGCACATGCTGCTTTTTATAGATTCCCTGAGAAAAAAGTTCTTCAGTTTACTGGATTTTCATTCTTGTTTGATTAACTGACAGAGAAAAGATGCCAGAATTTTGGAATGCCTGCACTAACAGTTTGTCCTGTTGAAGATGTTTACAGTTTGTATAAAGGAAAAGAATGTTTTAATAGGATGAGCAGAAGATCCTAGCTCATGTTGTATGGAATTTGCCAAAAAATAATAAATTGTTTTTTGTGGCAAACTTTCTTGCTGTCCCTTTTAATTTTGTACTTAGATTGTTCATGTTTTAATTCCTAATCTTTAATAAGTTTACTCATTTAATTTTTATGGCTTCATGATCCTGCTGTAGTATGAGGAATGATTCTACTGTAGTCTGAGATCTCCAGTAATTGACTCTTCCAATTCAAGAGGGCAAAGCTGTAGTCTTTATGGAGTGGAGGTTGTTTATAAATGAATTTTACCTTCAGTATTTTGGCAGTTAAACTTGCATTCTTCTGAAAAACTCTAGAAATACCGTTGAACTTCTCCATACATGAGAATGACTGAGTAAAACTGAAGGTTCTTTGTAATTTAGCTTCTAATTTCTTTCTGTCTGGTTACATTTTCTCTGCAAAGTAGCACTGATAATTTTGAGTTTATATGTATTCAAATATTTTTTTCTGCTTTTGATTCATTTTTTGCAAGATAGTAGCGATTAATTTCCAGTAGGTACGCTCGCATGAATGTGAAGCTGTCTAATGGACTGTAATGAATTTTTTGTTCTGTAAAGTGCAAGAAATGGTAATTCTGACACTGACCAGTGATGTCTATTATAGCTGTCACCGGAAAGGTAGGAGTGAAGAGCGTTGGTGACATCCAAGCTGTTGGCTCCGTGGGAAGGGCTTTGCAGAGCTGCTGTGCTCCACAGCTCTGGCGCTGACAATAGGTGTGCTCTGTGTTTACTTCATACTGGTTCTGGTACTTTGCGCACCCAATTTTTATGGCATTACACTCTTGAAGGGAAGAACTCGTTTCTGAAAGCGAGGAAAGGTAGGAGTGAAGAGCGTTGGTGACATCCAAGCTGTTGGCTCCGTGGGAAGGGCTTTGCAGAGCTGCTGTGCTCCACAGCTCTGGCGCTGACAATAGGTGTGCTCTGTGTTTACTTCATACTGGTTCTGGTACTTTGCGCACCCAATTTTTATGGCATTACACTCTTGAAGGGAAGAACTCGTTTCTGAAAGCGACTATTACAGAGATGGGCCGTGAACTCTTGAGCGAAGCCGGGTGCGGCGC